TAATCAGTAAAATGTTACTAATTAATCAGTAAAATGTTACTAATTAATCAGTAAAATGTTACTAATTAATCAGTAAAATGTTACTAATTAATCAGTAATGTTCATGAGAAATTTTTAACTCTACTAATAACGAGTGTGTGTTACGTAAATTATGTTGATATTTGTTGTATGTATAGTGTGTATTCTGAGCGTTCTTTCGAACTATGTCTTCACGCGCACAAACATCGTTTAACACACAATGTTCATCTGAGTACTTTAAAAAAAAACTTATAACATAGCTTGTCTAACGCCTCCCCCTTCCCCATTGATTCACCACCAGGAGGGTATGACCGCCCCCATGCCAGAATACATCGACATGGGGTACGACAGCCGTCCTATCGGACCTCTAGTACTTAAGGATGTCGCCGGTGATGACGTTGCTGAGTTCTGTAAGGACATGCCCAGCTACTGGCTCTTCCCTTTACCCGAGGACCAACGACCAGGTAAGGTGACGACGACGATGACGACGACGACAACGACGACGACGATGATGACGATGATGATAATGATGATAATGATGATTATTATTATTATTAATAATATTATTATTAGTATTATGTTGATAATGATGATGGTGATGATAATGACGACGACGACGTTGATGATATAATGATATGATGATGTTGATCATGGTAATATAAAGAATAATGGCGGTACTGATGGTAATAATGATAATGATGATAATGATTATGGTGACAATGATGATGGTAATATAAACAATAATGGTGGTCATGATGGTAATAATGATAATGGTAACAATGTAGAGTCAGGCGGGAAGAAGAAGAAAGAAAGAAGAATGATAATCATCGTGGAGTTACTCGAGCACGAGTCAGGCCAGGCCGAAATAAACACATAATTAAACTCAGCGGCACAAGCAATAAGATCATCTACACGTGACAGCGCCATCTACACGCGCAATAACGAAGTATTTGTACGTCCACAGAAGCGATTGGAGTTCGAACCAAGAGAGAAGTCAATTGTAATGTGGCGAATTCGTGCAACCGTCACGGGAGAAAAGCAGCCGCTCCCGTAAGATCTACTTAAACGCTCTTGTATAGCACAGAGTTAAATTGACTACGTCACGAATTTTCTATGGTGTATATTTGTTGCAATTTTTTTTTTACATGAAAGTAAGTACTAATAGCACTAAATGCATTCTCAAATTCTTTCCTGATAAGATTGTTTTTCAACTAGTTAGAAATCCAAAAAATCTGGTCGATTTGATATATTGATCACGACATTAAATGCTTGCTATGGGCTATCTATGTGTCACGAGGGTTTGTTCATATCGAGCGGAATAGCAAAATAGGAAGTATAATGCAGCAATTTAACCATAAAAAGTGAACAAAATCACTTACATTTTGTTAAAAAAGTGGACATCATTTTTCTGCTTTAACTATTTACGGTAATGACGTAATCACTTTAAATAGTTAAATATTTACAGATTTCGCATTGTAACGAGTTACACTCGACACTTAAACGCGACTCTCTACCGCATAGATGATTGCATTCACCCCGTAGGTAAAGAGTTACACTCACGTTCCTTTCGTCCCCTAAAATTCTTCTATGTTTACTTCCGATCCTGACCAATATGTTATGAAAATAATAGTAGTTATGCAATATATTATATTATTATTAATAATGTATAATTAATTATAGTATATATATATTTATTATATGTTATGGAATTGCCATGTACAATGCGTTAGAACGAACCGCCTTCATGTTTGCCGTAATAGTTCTTTGCCTTGTTAGAAATAGATATGTAAAGATATAGTATGGCGGAAAATCCGCCCAACACTAGGCAATAAATTCGACCATCGATTTATGCAAATTCGACCGAATGCAGACAGGTAATGGCACCTTGTTAGTAATACATTACAGTTGACCTTTTAGCCAAACGCGTATTAAGTTGTCCCAATATCAAGCTAGCTAATTACAAGAAATGCGAAAAAAAAAAAAAAAAAAAAAAAAAAAAAAAAAAAAAAAAAAAAAAAAAAAAAACCAAAAACACAAAAAACCCCAGAAAAAAACAAAAAAAACAAAAAAAAAACCACACCAAAAAAAAAACAAAAAAAAACAAAAAACCCACACAAAAAAAAGAAAAGACGCAGGGGCCCCCCTCCCAAAAAAAAAAAAACCAAAAATAAAAAAAAAACAGCCGTCCGTTTTCCTTCCAGCTCCCACCGATAGCAACCAGGGAGAACCCTCTCCCGCCCCGCCCCCCATAAAAAAAAAAAAAAAAAAATAAAAAAAAGATAAAAAAAATAAAAAAAACCCCGCCGCCGCCCCACAAAACACACACACCGGCCAACACCGTATATTGATAACCCCGTACATATTTTGTATTCTGGTTCGACCAACAAGTTAGCGAATTATGGCCAAACAACGAATCCATCTCCGGAGTTCGTTGTTCGGTGACGTATCTACCATTTTGCGAGCAGTAGCATGTTGAGGTCATGAGCGAATTGTTGTCACCGCTTAAATGTTTGTTCCTAGTGTTTTATACTTGCGCAGTAGTTGCCACAATTATTAATTCAGTCGTTGTTCTGTAACATTCTAAGAACGTATATTCATTTATTCGCCGAATACCCAAGAGTAAACCATAACCGTACCGCCGAATTGGCACCCCCTCACGACTATCAGCTATCCGAGCAAGATGCTACTGAACGGCCGTACATTCGTACGTCGGCGAAAATGTCGGCCTGCAAACTAGGATAATCGTCATGACCACCCATATTTTTCCCGTAATGGCCGTTCGGCCTTATTTCATTTGATTTTTCATCCGTCGCCAGTTTACCGACCCGAGGTTACCGCGCCGCATCGATGGTTCTCCGTACACTGTCAACAACCGATCTTCTCTGAGACTGCGCCTTTTCTCAATCAGATGGCCATATTCCTTATAACCAGCAGTTTCGGATATCTGACACCAACTAATCTACGCCGTTTTGCGACTACTCAGGTTCATATTGGGTACTGTTACTTATCACTACACAGAAGCGCCATGTCTTAGTATCGTCAGCATCGTTCGTCCTAACATCATTCATAAATTTCCGAGCTGGACTCGTCGGTTCTTTCTTTCACCTGCTGTTAACGCATCAGTACTGAATCGTCGTTGTCTCTTAACTAGTTCTTCTAACATGCCCTGGTCTCCCTTTTTATTTCACGCTATCTAATTCTGTCTTGAGGTTTTATTGGGCTCTTGGCCATTCTTATCCCATTCCACTAATTATTTCCTCTAATCCTCTGACTCCTATCACATTGCAGCCGCCGCCTTATTCCGTTCCCGCAGCAGAAACCGTCATCAATTACCATCGTGATCTCTCACACCATGACATTTCATCACACACACATCCAGCCAGCACTATCATTGGTTCATGTCACTTACATCATCACTTCATACATTTTGTTGTTATTTGTCATGTTGCATCATCCACAAAGATTCTCTGTCGTGATCTTATATGTTTATTATTTACTTTATTTGATTATTTATTTAGTTATTATTTAATTATTGATTATTTTATTTATTTATGTATGTTTATATTATTTAGTTATTTATTTATTTATTTATATTTATGTATTTATTATTTGGACTCTACTATGATCTGTTTGTGCTGTTATATATGTTGATTTATTTCCTTGCAGGTGTACTCTAATGGGACACGCTCGGGGAGGAATGCAAGGACACAGGAACTCGAACTCAGCCAGTACCCAACTGTCACATGTCGAATCTCACGATTATTTCGTAAGCCATTTTCCTGTTGCCTGCCCAATGTTGCGTTTAGCTTGCGTCACGATGCTTAGGTTCTAGTCACGTGACTGGCGTTACGACATGAATTGTCGAATTTTGTTTCAAGTTTTGCAGTTGATTAGCATATAGCTCGCGGATGACGTAATGTCGTACGGATAGTCCATTTGCCTTTCATTATAAACCAGCTTCAATAAGTTCATTTGATGAGTTGTATTGTGCGTCGTTTAATTTCTTACTGTCCTATGTTAATTACTCTAACAATCGTTTGAATTGTCTCGATTGTCAGTTAGAAATGCGATGTTAATTCCAATAGTTGCTATCTTACCGTTTACAAATTGGTAAAGTCATTATAGTAATTATAGGTTTATTATTTTTATTGTGAAGTAGGGTATCGGGTTTTTGCTGTTGGCATTAACTGAATTAGTGGAATGTTATTTAACCATTTGTGTGTAAGCGAGAAGATTCCTGGTATGTGGGATTTGGCGCCGAAATTTTCGATATATATTTTATAATATATTATGTTTATGATTATGAGTAATATAGTATTATGTCAGTATGATATATATTGAAATGTGCATCGTCAATTTGGACATCACCCGCAGTGAACAGATAATGGGCGTGTGTTTCCATTGGACCTTGTGTCTATTTAACTCCTTGACATTAATGTAAATCCCATAACATCAGCGGGTAGAAACGCTGCTACGCTGGAATTGTTGGTTGGTGGTTGCATGTACATGGCAAATAAAAGGTACGGCTAACAATCTGGGATACCTTGTCTATTTGTTTAGCAATATATTCAAAACATATCGATCCAAATATATCCCGTCGCCAAATGTAAAAGAATGGCGCCCAATGAGTAGAAATCAGCGCCTTACTACGCATATGACACTAATTATATAATAAGTGATATATTATGTGATATATAAATAATATATATAATATATCACGACCAAGGACATGACTTCTAGAACGTCGCCCTATTCTGCCTTTCGCCATCTCCTCGTCGACAATCACTAACCAAAATTTGCACGTCGTCTTTGGAATACGGTTTCAGCCAACAGTGGCGCATCGCTGGCGTGTATATACGACTACGTGAGGTTTTTTTTGCGCTTGCCTTGTAGCGCGTCGCCCGTCTCTTTAGCTGACGGGCATTGTAAATAATAGAGGAAATCGCTAGCAACGAGTTATAGTCTATGGAAGAGTCTAATGAATGTTTATCAGTGCCATTGCTTAGTAGTCCTGGAAAATTATCGCGAACTGAGTCACCTTGAGAGTGTACCTGTACTGTTTGGCGTGTGTGTGTGTGTCGCGTGAGTGTGGTGTTAGTAGTATTATTGTGTGTTTGTGTGTGTTTGTGTGTGTGGTAGGTGTGTGTGTGGCGGTGTGTGTGCGGTGTGTGCTGGCGTGCGTGTGGTTTTGTGGCTGCCTGCTGTTGTATTCTTTTGCGTGTGTGCGTCGCGTGCGTGCGCGTGTGCGTGTGTGCGTGCATACACGATCTGGGCGTGGTGGTCATGTCCTAGAACAGCGGCAACGCAGCCAGTTCTATTTTCTCATAATTAGATACGTGTCGCAACCATCCAGCGACGCCCGCCATGTCCAGCGACCGTATCGCTGGAACCATCTCACAGTGAGCTGTTGACAGGTGCGGTGTTGACAGGTAAGGTGTTTATACCTGGCAGCAGTCGCACTGCGCACGTGAGATACGCAGCCCAGTCAAACACTGCTCGCATGCTTCTGGAATTGGCAAGCTACAAATAACTTTTATCGAGTAATTCCAATCCGAGCCAGGTCAGTGCAGTTGTGTTTTTCACCACGCGCGCCTCACACATCATGCACGCACGCCCCACACACAAGACGCACGCGCTTCACACTACACTTTGGTGCACGCGCGCGCACACACGCACGCACCGCTCGCACAGATAATAAAACCACACACATCGTTATAATGTTTGTGTACGCGCGTGAATGCCATCGTGAGCGAATAGTGTGCATATGTTGTCGAGTGTTGTTGTGTGTTGTTGTGTGCTATGCGTGGTGTGATGTGTGTGTGTTGTGTGTGTGTGTGTGTGTGTTTGTGTGTTGTGTGTGTGTGTGTGCGCGCGCCGCGTGGTGTGTGTGCGTGCGCGCTGCGCGCGTTGTGGTGTTGCGCGCGCGCCGGGTGTGTGGTATGCGCGCGCGCGTGCTGCGTGTGTGCGTGCGTGTGTGTGTGCGTGCGTGCGTGGTGTCGTGCGTGCGTGTGTGCGCGCGTCTGTGTGGTGGCGTGCGTGCGTGTGTGTGCGTGCGTGCGTGTAGGCGCGCGTTGTGGTATGACAAACTACTTCTTAATTCCAAGGACGTCACGCATGTACGCGCGCTTAAATTCATAATAAGTTCAACAAGTTCTCCTGCCTGGCAATTCTTACATTTTGCCAGGTTTCCAACCCTTTTCCTAGAAAACCATTGACAACCCGGATGCGACCCCTAGCGCCCTCATCGATCAGGCGCCAACAACACGTGCGAAGCCGACAACAACAAGGCTCGTTTTTTTAAGCCATCGCCATGGCACACCAAGACTGGTTAAATGTATATGCACACTATCTATACCATAGACAATTTTTTGACCTGGAATTTTCTAGCTCGTCGTTGAAATTGTTTCGCCGCGGCAATCTCGTGTCACAACAAAACATTTTCGGATGGTATTAGAATAGCTGGCGCTTACAGATAAAAGAGTTTAAGAATCAATAGGCCAAAGTTGAGATCGTTAGGTTAGCATAAGTGAGAAGACAGTTGCGTTAAGTAACCTTAAGCGACAACCAGCGAGAGAGTCAACGCAGATAGTTTGACATAAACAGAGCGAAGTATAGAAAAGGGTTTTAACGCGAAAACCGAGCGATTGAAAGAAGATCAACAGCGGGCAGAAAATACAAGAAGCGACAGAGGCGACAACAAGAAGAATAGAACGAGAACAGAGGGCCAGAGAGGTAGTTCCAATCAGCGTTTGCGCAGTGAATAAGATGCGGATTTAGCAACGCGGTGACGATAGGGGC